TTTCTCTTTCTACATTTTCCTATATTCTATTCTGTTCTGTTCTATTCCATTCAATTCCTTATTCTATTCTATTCTATTCTATTCTATTCTATTCTATTCTATTCTATTCTATTCTATTCTATTCTATTCTATTCTATTTCTATTCTAATGTTCTATTCCATTCCATTCCTATATTATCTTCTCTTTTCTCTTTCTATATTTTCCTATATTCTATTCTATTCTATTCTATTCTATTCTATTCTATTCTATTCTATTCTATTCTATTCTATTCTATTCTTTCCTATTTCTATTCCATTCCATTCCATTTCTTGGCTTGTTTTGCCCTTCAGGATGCTCATCCATGGAATCCTTCCCAAACTCTCTCTAAATCTATTGAAATCGTCCCTCTTAAAGGCCCAAACTCTAGTCTGGCTTTGGTCTACTGCTCATAGTTGCATAACGTTGAATTCCAGTGTAGGTAAGTCCTCAACATACAACCGCAATTGAGGCCCCCGCCCCCAGAAAAAAACCTGGGGTGTTTTTTTTTCTGGGTTTTTTTTTTCCAGGCCTTCCCATTTCTATGTTGACCCTTCTTAAAAAGTGTCCAAGCACCTTAAAACCGGCTCAAACATTGAGATATTTCGGAACATATGACATCCGTCTCTCCAGGGCTTATTTTCTTCTTAAGTTTCAGGTGTTTTTTCTCCTTTCAGGATCTTTGATTCACTCCGTTTTTGTTATTCTTCCTTACAGTTACAAAGCAATTTGGAGAGTTACTTTACAACTGGCGTGGATTCTTCTCATTTCTTTTTTCTTTTTTGAGTACTGCAGCATCACCTACAAGTTAAAATCCCAACCACTACCCGGTATAAACATAATTATGTGCGTTGACATATATTTCCATCAGAAACATCTCTGCCTTTAGTATACAGGTAGTCTTTGACTTATAACTGTTCATTTAGTGACTGTCCAAAGTTACAACGGCACTGAAAAAAGGGACTTATGACTGTTTTTCACAGTTGCAACCTTTGTAGCAT